GCAGGAATGAGGGCAGTGCTAGTTACCTCCTCAGCAGGAGCAACGGTAGCCACAGCTTTTTCCTGGTTGTTTTCGCGAAGAGAGTCGATGTTCGTTTGAACACCATCCAATCCGGATTTGAGGGCATCCAGGATTTCGTCATTGGCAGTCAGATCAGCTGGTTTGTCGGCTACCTTTTCGATGCTGATTCGTAAGTCGCTGAAGCCCTCGTGTAACGCATCAAGAATATCTGTGGTACCGGCATGAGGGCGGAGCAACTCTCCACGTATTCTTTCAATGCTGTCGCGAATTGCTTCTAGAACATCTCTGTGGTCACTCGTTTGTGGTACATGAGGGACAAGGGAAGAGTTCACGGTATCTCGAAGCGACTCGATTTCTTGCTTAATAATGTCCCTAGAGCCATCCGAGGCCTTTGCAACAAGCTCCGATACCTCTTCCTTGAAGATATCGAAGCTGCTGACGACATTGGTCATGAGTTCCTCTTGGTTCGAAGCGCCAGAAACCTTATCAACGTAACCTTCCATATGTTCTCGCAGCTGATCGAAATTGCTGGCAAGATTCGTCATCAGCTCCTCTTGGTCGGGGACGCTGGTGGTGCTGAGAGCTCTGTCGGCGGGGCTCTCTATATGAGTCCGTAGTTGCTCGAGGTTGTTGGCGATATTTGTCATCACTTCCTCCTGGCCGGAAGCACCTGAAACCTTTTCGACAAATTCGTCCATGTGTGCGCGAAGTTGTTCAAACCCATTCTCCAGGTTAGCCATAAGCTCCTCGTGACTGGATGTCCCGAGAGCTTGGTTGACATAGCCTTCCATATGCGTTCGCATTTGGTCAAAACCATCTCTGGTGGCGTCCAAGACCTGCTCTGTGTCTCTTCCATTTGCGGCGACATTCTGCTTCGCCTCCTCGGAAACAGCCTTGAACTCCTCCCGCATGTATTGCATAATATCGTGAAGGCGTTCTATAACTTCAGGGCTTTCGCCACCATGGGGCACGAGCGCGGTGCTTTGGGTAGAGTGCAGGCCCTCCTTGACAGCGTCTAACACGTCGTCTCGGCTCAGATCATTCGTTGAAGGTGCAACTGGGAACTCGAAGTCCTCGAGACATTCCCTAACGGCCTCGATTACTTCGTCTCGGGAGATACTAGCTGGTGTCTCAACTTGGGGAGGCACAAAATGCTTTAGTCCCTCGACAATTGCTTGGAATACCTCGTCTCGAGTCGCACCTTGTGGGGCGTCTTGACGTGGTGCGTAGTGCTCTAGCCCTTCTCTTAGGCAATCAAGCACCTCATCCCGCTCCAATCCGATCTGTTGGATTTCGATCTCGGGCTTGTAGTTCTCCCAAGCATCTTTGACGGCCTCAATGACATCGTCTCGGCTTAGTTTGGGGTCTTGGTTTCGCGTGGCTTCTGAGTCGCTGAGAGCAGTCCTTAGGGCGTTATATATCTCTTGGTAATCGATGGCAGGCTTTTCGATTTCGGATGACACTCGTCTGTGATCTCGAAGACGATGCGCCATGTAAACCCTTATCTGTTCCAACCCTTCCTCCACAATTCTTGCTAGCTCCGCTCGACTAGCAGTTTCGCTTTTGCTGGGGGATTTACCGTGCCAGTCATCCAGCTTCCTGCTAATCTCCCTCCCCATACCAAGAACTTCGCCTCGAAGCTCTCGGACAAGGGCTTTGACCTCGGCCGTCATGCCTCCTGCTTGAGCTACGCTGTCTTTAACGGCACGGATAACTTTAACAAGGTCGTCATTCAGGCCATCGTTTACTCGTGTCGTAACCGATGGTCGCCGAGTTTCTTTTCCATTCATCAACTTTTCGACTCTGTGGTTCACCACGCTGCTGATTTTGGATCCGGAATCATCGCTACTGAAACTCATTGACCTTGCCTTGTCCGTCCGAACACCATTTGTCGGGTGAACCGGGTGTTCACTGGATGTCTTCAGGTGGTGGATAAGCTCTTCCACTTTGTCCGCTGAAGCCATGCCAGCTAGTCTGTCGGCTAACTCAGACAGACGGCCAACGATCGAATCTTGGCCGTCCTTGGTGCCCATATCCCTGATGATCTTTTCGAGTAATGCCATTGTGGCAGGCGAAGATTCGCCGCCTACGAGAGAAGGCGTGCTCAAGATCGACTCTCGATCAATGGAAGCCGCGAAACTATTCGGCGACGGGATCCTCGGAAGCGAGATCGGTCTCCCGGCCTTTGGTCCGGGTGACATGCTGTTGAAGGGCTTGTTGTCAAGGTACAACCCACCAGTATAAGTGTCCCGATGATACCGAGAGGTGTCCGAGCTCGAGTTTAAAGCCAGCTCGCGTAGACTCTTTCGAATATCCTCATCTCTAGCGTGTGTAGCCTCTTTGAGGCTCATCAAGTCGGTAGCGTTATCTCTACTCCGACGGCTGAGTTGGGACATTTCCTTCTGGAGGGCGGTTGCAATATTGGTTAGGGTGAGGAGTTGGTGGGAAAGATGCTCTGTGGAGGGATGCGGCTTCATCATAGGCGCAGAGTTATTTGTGACGTTCGCCAGAGGTGATTCAGTCTCTCGCATCGATACGGAAGGCATATTTTGCAATGCCAACATGGTGGCAGATTGTGGTGGTGTGTTTTCGCCAAGGATGCTCTGCGGTGGCTTCCTCGCAGAGGGGCGAACCATTGAGCTCAAATTGGCCGACATGGGTGTAGGTGTGCCCGGGGCAGTGTTCTCCTTTTCATCAGATCTTGGCTCTCTTTCGTGGTCCCTGCCACGTACTGGTGTCTGTGGTCTTGTTTGTGATCTCCCGGACCTATCTTTTTCGGGAGAGCCTCGAGGGGTAGAGTTCGCAGAGTCACGGTCTCTTGACCCCTCGATCATCAGGCTAAGGTCTCTAACACTGCCTGGTTGCATTGATTGCATTCGCTTGTGAGGGCTTGTTCTCTGAACGAGAGCGCGCTCGGGTGATGTGTCGTTCATACGTTTTGCGAGTGAGGGGACAAGTGCGTGCTCGCGCGCCTTCTCGGTCAAGGCAGCATGCGCAGATTGGATAGCTAGCGATGTGCCACTTCGCGACGGGCCCACACCAGGCGACTGAGGATTCATTGGCAGAGGGGGCGGCGCCCGCTCCGGGTCAGAGCTATCCCACCTAGAACTTTTGGTAAGTCTACGATACAGCCACATTGCTGAACAACAGCGATAGAAAGAGAGAGCGAGAGGAAACGTACATTGGCACAATAGCTCCGATTGAAGAAGAATGTTGATGTCTTAGAGGCCGGTCGACCTGTGCGTCGCGCTCGACCGGCGGCATGCTCTGTTGTTTCTCTTGTTTGTGTTTGATGAGATGGAATGATATGTCTCTGACTTGCGAATTTGCGATGCGGCTAGAAGCCGTATCACTGTTTGAGATATCTAGCAATCGCGTGTAAATATTTAGCCTAAGCCAACCCCATCAATGAGGGAATTGAAAGAATTGATGTTTAACGTTTAATGTTTAATCAGTCAGATATGACTGTCAGGTTGGGATTGGGAGTGGGAGTGAGATTGATGATGGATATGATGGATTTGAAGATTAGACAAAGAAAAAAACGGAGCATGGGGGTTCATCTAAGAAGGTTCCTGGTAATATGTGATTATGGGAAGCAGCTACTGCTCTGCTCCTACATAGTACTAACTGCTCTTGTTATTATTAACGGTTGTCCCGCTCTTGCGCACCTGCTGTGTGGAACTGTGGAACTATGTGGACAAACAAATCGGGCGCCTACCCAATCCCAATCAGGTTTTGTTGATCTGCAGCATCACAACGTCGCTGCCCAGGCAACGGAAGCTTGGGCCAAAATACGCAACCACTTAGCGAGACCTAAGTACCGAAGTACCTTGCCGGTCCTTGTATTTTATTTTTAATAACTTTCAATTTTCCATTTTCGTCACATCCTCCCCTGCGGTTCATCACCATTGTGCAGTAGCTGTTACAATATCAATAAATTACTCTTTAACATCTGCCATACATGTCCTACCACATCATCATCTTTGTTGGCTTTCCGACACACTCCACTGCATTGTTTACGAAGACATTGGTATTGATACTAACGAGCCTGTAGCCCTCTTTTCCTCTCCATATCTTGTGAGAACCCACTTTGAAAGTATACTCAATATTTATATCCCCCACGTGCGTCCCATCTCCCATCTTATTTAGATTAATATTTCCGAGAATATCGTGCCATGTTATGAATCAAGAGCCATCTCGGATCGAGATGCATTTTCAAAACTGCTAGTCTAATAATTTCGAGCCGAAGATCTACAACTTTAGATATAGAAACCTTTTATACCTATAGAAGTTGGCAAAAGCCGTCTGTACGGCCGGTTCATATACAGATAGTTCAGTCCTACACTAGCTTCAAGGAATGACCTAGACTCAACAATTAGACCATCCGATGTCTGCCAAGGTTTACTATGCGTCCGAAATCTTTAGAATAGGTAGGTATCGTCCATCTCTAGTGGAGTCTTCCGAACACAACCCGGGGCCTGCTCCGGAACCCCGTGCAGAATAAACGGAGAAGAACTCGGAGTCTCCTATCAAGCAATCCCTCATCATTTCCGTCAAAATATAGAAGGGGGGTTACAAAGTCATACAATTCTCCATACAAACTCAAGCAACTTCTTTCCAACCCCGCTATCTTATTGTCTCCAAGTCAACAAATCGTCAAGGATTACAGCAAGCTTGGAACCTAGCCAGAACGGTAGAACATTCGATGGTAAGACTCGCATAGCAGGTTATGCTTGCCAAGTAAGATTCTCGGGTTTCGTTCTTTTAGTTCGACAAATGAACGAACTCTCAACTTATCCCAGATTATTTGATTGCCGAAAACTATTAGATCGATTGATTTCTTATTACCTGAAGTCTGATCACAGTGTATCACTGTACGAGCTCATACTGTCTATTACGAGTCAAGATGCGCTAAAATCTAACAGGCCGCAGATAGTGGCAACGATTATATGCAAGTATAACAATCGGTTCTAACATCCGGTCCGTTGGCCCAATGGTAAGGCGTCTGACTACGACTACCAGTTCAAAGTTAATCAGGAGATTCTGGGTTCGACCCCCAGGCGGACCTTCTATTTTTGCACTTTTTGCCAAATCAATATCTTCTTTTTACCATGCTAAAAGTCAGACAAATGAATTTTACGCCACTTGGTCCTAGCTTATCAAGGGGCTTATCTAAACAGCATCAATTTTCTTTTGGTTCATATTGTCGAGAGCGAACGAGTTGGGAATCTCAATTACGAGACCAAAGTCCTTGAATTCGACCAGATGCTATTAGGCAACTTAGAGAAACTATTTTAATATCATATTTTGTGTGTCTTAGGTAATTATTACGTTGCGCAAATTCGCTCCTTAAGTTATGTGGTCTCGTAGATCTAGTTTGTCTGACTAGCTGTCGAAGGTCTTGTTAGATTGGAATTCCGCTCACTAGAGACTCGGTATATTGAGAGGAGGTTTATTGGTTGGAATTACATACATAGTCTTAGGATAGTATGAACAGAGGGTTTGGATTTTAAGTATATCACGATCCTAGGTAGATAGCCCTAAAGCTCCTTACGCAACGCCATCGTCGTTACTATATCCGCTACGTTCGCAACGTGAGAAGCTTGAAACTTCGAGACACGCAAATATACGAGTAAAATCATCTCGCCTATTATGAATCTATATATCAATACTTGAAAATTGGATATTGGGATGTTAGAAAGTGCTCGCAAGTCCAGAAAGTAGTCAGATTTATCGCAGTTTATCTTCACGTATTTGGGGATAGGATACAGAAAGGTAACAACCAAAGACCTAGTCTATATAAAGATATTATTCCTCTTTACTTGACTCATAAAATGATGTAATGTTAAAGTGATTACCTTATTATGGTATATTAAAGCTAGGTATTCAATATTTGACTCCGTGCAGTGCTCACCCCTATCCCTTTAACTGGCAGTTGTCCTCAGACAGGGTTTATTAGGTAGAATACCCCTAAGCACAGGTAACAGCCCACCGGCGCTCATAGTATTCTACCTACTAACCCTTATCTAGAGACACTTGCCAGCTACGCGGATATTGTTATGTGTGCTTCTGCAATGCACGATAACGTACCTAGCTACCGCTGTCAGCTAATAGCCTCACTTACCAGAAGACGCTCGCCGAAGGAAAAACTCGCCTACTAGATTAAATGAAGTGTTCAGCATGTTAATTAAATTATCTAGGTGTTGGCTCACGTGTCGCAAGAGCATCTCTATATCGAGAAGTAGGAGTTCAGCGCTCGTATGAAATGTCACTTAGTTTATAAGGAATGTGGAATAGTCGTAAGTACCTATGTTCAATATTTTCAATTAACATCCAATCCCATTACCTAGATTCTTAACATGACCATGACAACATGTTGATTTGATTTGATCTCATCATCACTGTATTGTTAAATTGCTGAGCCCAGGAGTAACATATCCAATTCTCATAACGTGAATCGCCCAACCCCCTTTTCGCTCTACGCTCTACGTTCTATTGTTAAAATGAAGCGTGATACTAACATGGGATAGAGAACCCGATGAAAGTAGTACATGTACCATAGTCGATGATTTCTCACTCAGTTTCTATTTGCTAAGTTGATAAACCTAAATGTGTATTCTGGGTTGGCGGGAATTGATGAGACCGGGATAGTCGCACGACTGCCGAAACGCAAATTCTGCGAATCTCCTGCATTTCGATATTTAAAAACAATACTATATGCATTTAAAGATGGATGAGATGACCAGTGTTCGGAACCACTACACGCCAATCCACCAGTGTACACGCACTGCCAAGCCAACTAAATCAATTCAATTACACGGTCCCACTTTTAAATTTAGTCATCCACTGCACTTGAGGCTATCGTGGGTGTAGTTGGTGTAGTGGGTGTATTAACTGTGGAGTTGTAGTGGGTACAGAGCCCCTTGTTGGTATCTGTTAGTGTTCACTGCTAAGTTAGGTGGTTTCACTAACAGATACCATCAGATACCTTCTGTGGCAATTATTGTGGCAACGATTGTGGCAAGTAAATATATGTGGCGTTCGTACGAAAGCTTTGATCAGCGTTGAAATTACTACCTATTGAATTATCTCAGGTCTTGCCGTCATGGCTACGGGCTGGGGTGGTGAAAGGGCTAGATCCCTTCTTTTACCCTTATTCGGACGAGCTGGAAGACGGCAAGGTCGAACGTATGAGCGACGAGCTCGCGGAGTGGACCAAGGGGAGGTTAGCGACAACGTAAGTGGGAATAGCTTCACCAAAAAATAGGTTTACTAATACGAAATAGTGGGTCCCTGAGGTGTAATACACCTAACCAATTCAACTACACTGAGCGTTTTATAAAACCCACTACACCCACTACACTGAAGATTTCGTGATTATGTCATACACCAACTACACGAAGGGTCTCAGTGTAGTTGGTGTAGTGGTTCCGAGCACTGGAGATGACATATCATAAAACTTAACCCCCTTCATTTAAAACGAGACAGACAAAAAGAGTGCCTGCCCTTAATAATCATAGGGATCGATGGCAAAAGGGAAGGTCCGCCTGGGGGTCGAACCCAGAATCTCCTGATTAACTTTGAACTGGTAGTCGTAGTCAGACGCCTTACCATTGGGCCAACGGACCTTGGTGATCGAAAAGGCTCTTAATTAGTACTATATCACAAATTTGTTTGCGCTAAATCGACTTAAGTCGGATAATCGCCGGATATTCTCTCATGGTAGGATCGAGAACGACTAAGGAGAGATGGACGTAGTTCATAGATATAACTTGGGGGTCAATCGAGACGAGAGTAAGAATCTGTATCTCGCTGTTAAGACGGAGCTGGTATACTCCCATATCATGGTAGGAAATATCATAAAAGTGTGGTCATGCGCGACGATGACGGTGTCTTGAATGTTTTGTAAATTCGAGAACTAGATACTAGCTGGGGTTTTTACTTGTATGTTAGAATATACTGTGTTCATCTCTTCATCGACCCCTCGCTTTTAATAAGTTTTTCATTATATGTAAAAAATAAAAATAAAACGATTTACGATTTGTTGTTATTGTAGGTAATGACTAGTTATCTGGTTGTTGTAGAGTAGTAGTATTAATAAAAAGGGGGAAGAGAACGCCTAAGTATTGGAACTTTCAAGGTTATAACCTAATGAATCCTTGATCGCCTTAGGTCTTAAAGCGGAGAGCAAAAATGATTCGTGTAAACTCGGGTATAGATAAGTAGTAAGGAGTCGATATGCCCATTAGAAACTTTTGTAAATTTTGTCGCGTGATAGTTGCGGTCACGAGTATGACATTTCAAGCAACGAAAAAGAACATCCTTACGAGATACTGTTTAGAGTCGAGTTTTTTTTCATTTCAGCCCGTAGATAGAAACTCCTTTTCTACCCTGTTGAAGTCTTCATGACCATCTAATAAGTCCAAACCGGCCGAATTGCTTGTGTCCACGACCGAAAAACGCCGGCTCCATCATATATACATGTAGCGGACTATTGGCGCCTAGGTCTATCATTACACATCTCAAACAAATACACTCTATTTAAGCATCGTGTCGAATGCTGGAATCAGGGTCTGGGCAAGCCAGAATGAGAACACCAACTTCGGGCCAGTCATGAGAAGCTATAAAGAATTAGCATGGACTATACGTGAAATGATGCGAGACTCTTACCTTGGGCACCAATCCCTTGAAGAAACTAGAGAATCCTTCATTCTTGGCCATGTTAGACAAGATTCGGAAACCACTTTCGGGGTTCTCGAAATTCCGGTTCTGAATACGAGTCTTGATGACGTCTAGGGGCGCGGAAACGAGTAAAGAGGCTGAAGCACCGGCGATGGAGGCGATGAAGTTCTGGAACCATGATGCCTTGTTGTAATCGTTCAGCTTGAAGAGGTATTCCTTGGTGAAGGCCGAGCCACCGAAAAGCTGTCTGATGTTAGTTGGGCATAAGTCAAACTCATGTAGTCAAGCGTACCGCGAATGATCCAGGGGCATTTCGGGCCGCAGTCCACCCCCAACCTCTGTATAATCCAAAGCCCTCATCAGCGACAATCTTAAAAACACCACGTCCTCGGAATGCTTCTGGGTTCGTTTGACGCTTGATCTTCAACACATCCAAGGGAAGCAGGACGACCTCGCCGATACCGATCAGACTAGAATACGTCAATGAGTCTGCCAGGCCACCGCGATTCGTTTATCCGATGCTCACCTTCCGGCAGTCGAGTGCATGATTGCCTTTCCGGTCTTCTTTCCGAATGCGCCCTCAAAGTCCTTGCCGTAGTGCAGCGCAAGGTAATCCCGAGCAATCGGCTGCCCGCCATACTTGTATATTCTTTGCAAGACCTGGTACAGCTAATTAGCTGGCCATCCTCTCGCCTGAGATGGGAATATGTGCGCATTTCTGACCTTGTATCCTGCGGCATAACCTAGACCTGGGAAGAGCGAGAAGAATTTGCGACCTAATGGTGCTTCTGCCTTCTCCTTGAAGATGACCTTGTTCAGCTCACTAGTATTCTTGATCTATGTAATAATTAGTATCGTGTGATATTCAATTATTACTGGTTGACTGTTCGTACCTTCGTCTGGTTGCTCATTAATCGCTTCGCGATGGTGTCGACCTTTGGACCTATTAGTTTTGCGCCGCAACGGTTTAAGCTGTATAAGCACGTACGGGATGGAAGACGGCCAATTCAGAAATACCAGCGGAGCCTGTGTTCATTGAATTAGCTAGAGTTTTTATAGTAGGAATACTATTTAGCTTACCGGAGCCGAGGAGCCGAGCGAGATTCGACTCGCGCTCTTTGCCAGTGACCATAGGCGCCATTGCGAATTATTATAAACGTTGGACGATTCCGTAAGAATTTGTATATTCTTTGGAAAATGTATTATCTGGTCACCTGAGTTTGACGGATTAAAAGGCTAGAGGGATTGGCTAGAGCCTTGAAGACAAGCTGCGAGGATGACAACGACTGCGGACTCGACGGGGAGAAGCGCACAAGAGTTCGAATAAAATTTCAATCGCGCCGAAGATTTATTAAAAAAAATTCATTCAAGCAGTCCATTGCGACC